CTTAGGGCACCGTGACTTGCTATAGATCGCAGAATGAGTGAGTGACCTACATGATCTGGGGCTGTCACTTTGTCATCTGTTGGTGATGTGCCTCTCCTGCTGTCCCTCTTCTCTGGGGCTGAATAAAGTATAGCTCTCCACTGGGATCTCTGGATGACTCCTTTCATGGAACCATTCCCTTATCTTAAAAAAAATATTAGCTACATGAAGGCACAGCAGATTTTGATGCCTCTGTCGGTGATGCAGGTCTACCCGAGGACTAAGAGGATATGATTACAGACTCCCAGAGGGCATGTGAGAACAACTTGAAAAGGGAAAAAAATGAAAGAGGAAGATATGAAACACATGGGTCAGGTACTCGGTCAGGTTCTTGACAATAAATTCAATTCAGGTGAAGGCTCTTCCCTTCGTGCAGGCGCCGGAGGTATCTAAGAGAGGCAGCGTGCCTCATCGTGACAGTGTGGGCCCTGGCATCAAAGCCAGGCTGAGGGGCCCCAGGAAGTCAGCCGACTAACGAACACATGTGTGCCAAGACCCAAGGAACAGCACTTTTAGCACGTGGGAAGAAACGCAGTTCTGGAACTTTGAGTTTTGGCATCTAGAAGCTGCAAACCCGAGGCACTGAAAGTGAATGCAAGGCCAAGGAGTGGAGTGAGGGTCTCTGATACCAACAGGGTGCAGTGGATGAGTCAGACCCGTGGATGGACCTCAAGGGCAGGACTGACATTACATTGGGGCTTAGCAGTGAAGCCCTTCATGACCAGCCCCACCAATCCCAGAGCTGAGGAGTCCCCACAATTGGACCTGGAGCCATGGGCTCTGCCACCGGGAACCAACAAACTAGAGGGTACCAGTGTTTAGGAACCACTCCTGCAGAGAGCCAACAGCATGTCAGAGAGTGGAGTGACTCCCTGCTTACTCATGACTTTGTTTTCTCTATCTAGAAAGTCTACAGAAACTCTTGGGAGCAGACCCGGGCTGGAGGCTATGACTTCAGGCTAGATGCGATCCCGTTCCAGACTGCCCGAGCATCCCGGGAGATTGCCAGTGATGTAAGATGCCGCTCTCTCTCCTTCCATCACTAATGGGTTTTACTCTGGTCTTCCCAGTTCTGTTGAAGCTGAAACCCCAGGACCCCAAGAGAGAGATGATCTCCTCTCTGCACCAAAATGAAACACACATCATATTTCAATCCAAAGAAGAAAAAAAATGGGCTTTGTTTGATAAGAGTTTAGCCAGGCATTTGATATTGAGGAAGGTTGTATGCCTGCTCCTTTTTTAATAGAGGCACTCTTTTTAATTTAATTTTTTTTTACTTGTGGTAGAGAGGACGTACACTTACCAGAGAGAGAGAATGTGAGAAAACACTCCTCACAGTGAATGTTGCAATCCCTTCTGCTCCATTTCTCCCACGTTTTGTGATTTGGAGCATGCATGCACACCCAGTGTGTTTTTCAAACTGCTGGGTACAGGACTCACACTGTGTAGTCAGCTATGTGGGTTCCAGCCACCCTAAGCATCACACTACAGGCTGGCCCAAGAGAAGCACTCTTAAAAGTAGGAGTATGAAAACCTAGAAATCAATGAACATCTGATTGGTTTGTTAATATGCAATAAAGGCACTTCTTTTAGCAGAAGTGCAATGTGGTAGAATTACTTAGGACTTTTGCCTTGCCCTGCATTGACTATTGTTCAAATCCTGGCTTAGTCATGCAGCAACTGGCTGTTTGTCTTAGGCACATTGCTTAAATTCTCTGAACTCAAATTTCTACATCTATTTTAAAGTGTCTGGCACACAGCAGGCCTTCAGAACATGGCAGCTATTATCAAAGAGGAGGATGTCATTGACTAGGAAAATGCCCCTCCACACTAGATACATGCTCTCCTATGAAGAGGTCCCTGCTAGTCCACAGTGAGATCAGGACATAAATCAGGAGCAAGCACTCTTAGACATGCTTTTAGCAGTTCAATGTTGCAACATCCAAGCATGTGATGGATGGGTGGAGTCCTCTCACTGAGCAGGGTACAGGCCGGTTTGAGTGTTATACAATGCATGTGGCACTACCACTTACTTATCACGTGGAGGAGGACCACATATTAGTCTTTAACACTTCAGAAATTGAAAGCAAGACAAATGAGCCGGATCCTTCACTACGGGTGGTTTGAGGAGCACTGGAGTAGGTCCCTGAAAGAATAAAAGGAAGAGTGGCTTCCTTGAGAACATACACACTGCTCTTCCTGTTGGAGTATTAATTAAAGCAGCAGTGATACTAGTTGCCATCATTCCATGGTCATGAACCAGTGCCAGACATGACACCGAGCCCCATCTGTCTGAATCCTCTTAACCTCCTATGGGGATTCTCCTGTGTAAACTGGAACTCAGTGAGAGATTCAGTAACTGACTCAAGGACACACAACTAGGATTACCTCCCCCCCTGTTGAGCTTCCTGCGGAAAATCCCATGGACTGGCCCCATCAGTGGTGCTGGCTCCAGAGAGGAGACGGGCCCCCATGACCCACCTGTGCTCCTCTGACTTACAGTTCCGGTACAAAGAGGCCTTCCTGAGGGACCGGGGTCTGCAGATTGGGTACCGCAGCATTAACGATGACCCAAGGATGAAGCATTTCCTCAATGTCGGCAGACTCCAGAGCGACAACGAGTACAAGAAGGACTTTGCCAAGAGTCGGTCCCAGTTCCACAGCTGCACAGACCAGCCCGGATTCCTCCAAGCCAAGAGGAGCCAGCAATTGGCCAGCGATGTGCATTACAGGCAGCCCCTGCCCCAGCCCACCTGCGACCCAGAACAGTTGGGCCTGAAGCATGCACAGAAGACCCACCAGCTTCAGAGTGATGTGAGCTACCTTTCCCCGCCTTTTTGAGGCCCTTCCCCTGGTTTTCCTTCCCAAGGGAAGGCTGTAATCCCACATTCCATGTTACCTTCTGGGGGAAAAAGGGCTGCGATAAGATCCAGAGGAGTAGTAACAATAACAAGCATTTCTCGTCTCTACTGTGGATTGGGCTTTGTACCAAGTGCTTTCCAAGTATTGTGCCATATAGCCCACAGCAACCCCAGGACTACCTCATTTTACAGATGAGGAACCCAAGACTCAGAGAGGTTAAGTGACTTACTCAAAATCACACAGCAAATGAGTCGTAGACCTGGGGTATGAACCTCATTTAGTTTAATGTGAGAGCCCAGGTTCTTGATCGCTGTGCTGTACTGTTTCCAAGAGATCTTAGCAATTGCCTAAACTAGCCCTCGCACTTCCCCTGGGAAGAGACTGAAGCCCAGAGAAGGGACGCACTTCCCTAAGGCCAGAGTTAGTCAAGGTAGGAGTTCAGACTTGATCCAGGTGTCCCCACCCTCCTCTCCTATGGCAGCTCCTGTCACTTGAGTGGGAAGGTGCAAGGGATCCATGAGCTGGCCCAGCTCTCAGCACGCTGGGTGCTCATGCCAGGGAGCTTCTGCATAAGATGAATTTGCTCCCCTAGTCCTGCTAGTACTGACGTTAACATATTCTCTGGCCCGTGGCTGCCTTTTTATTTCTATTTCCTTGGCAATCAAACTACCCCAAACCCTGCTGACATACTCCTTTTGCTCCCTCCTTCCCTCAAGGTCAAGTACAAATCAGACTTGAACCTGACCAGAGGTGTTGGCTGGACACCCCCTGGCTCCTACAAAGTGGAAATGGCTCGCCGGGCTGCAGAACTGGCTAATGCAAGGGGCCTGGGTCTCCGAGGCGTTTACGTGAGTAGCAAGTTGCAAACCCACCCCAGCTTGCAAGGCCAGGGAGAAAGGCAAACTCAGTGTTTCTTTTCAAAGTTTATTTTTGGCCAAAGGTCAGCTGGCTCTAAAGAAGTGTGAAATGCAGCTTGAGCAAGGCGCCTAATTTCATGGGTCTGAGATGACCGTGCAGATGACACACGGGTTAAACTTCCTGCAGGGTTTTCTCTGAAGTCACAGCCATTAGTTCTGCAGAGGCAAACCTACTGGGGCTACATCAATCCTGGGCCAGGGCAGCCCAGACCGTGCCGACTGTTTGCTTGTTGCATTCGCAGGAAGGGTCAGGGACTCGCTGGCTACAACAGTCTGCATTCTGAACCCTACTTTGTTCGGAAGAAACATCCCACGTTAAATGAGGGATTCCTTGACTTCTTTCTCATCCTTGCCTGAGGAGAGAGTTTTCTTCTTGGAGGGGGTGGAAGAAGGGGAAAGAAAGGAAAAGGTGAGCATACTAAATGCCCCCAGAGTTTATGAGTGTATCCTGGGGGAGGGGGGCGGGGTCCTCCATTTTAACTTGGGGATAGGAAGAGTGAGCATACTAAATGCCCCCAGAGCATATGAGCGTATCCTGGGGGAGCAGGGCGGGGTCCTCCATTTTAACTTGGGGATATGTATGATTTCTGCAGGGGAGGCTAGAGCCGGTGGATGCTGTGGATCATCAGGAAGGAGAGGTAAACCCAGATGCCACTGAGATTCTTCACGTCAAAAGGAAGAAGGCGCTGCTGTTGTGAGCGATGTCCACCTTCGGTTCTTGCGAAGAGCCAGAGAGAAAAATTATTTGCCAGAGATGTGAATTAGACACTCTCCATTTGGGCAAGCTGTAAAAATGGCATACCAACCCATCCCCAGATCTGCCTTTACTAAAATAACAACCCCCAAAGCAAATGGAGAGTGTTGTATTTTTGGTCCTTTCTAATACCTAAGTGTGGATGGCTGGTTCTGCTGAGGACCTCGAGTACCCAGGCTGAGGAATAAAAATGTCAAGGTGGCACCCACTGACACTGGATGTCTTGTGATTCTGTGTTTGCGCATGTCTGAGGTGGGGCAGTCTCTGTGAACACTGATTTTCCAGAAGGTACAATTCTTGGAAAGGAAGCACACATTATATTCTTGGTGTTGACTCCATCATTTCTTGAGTTACTCAGGGAAGACGCAGAGGGAGCCTGATGGATGAAATGGCCCAAAATATGGACTAGGAAGGCCCAGGAAGGACAGCCATTGTCTCGGTTTAGAGCATGGACACTCCACTGTGTGGCCTCTTGGAGGTTCCAAGAGGTGTCCACTGCCACTCACAAGGTCTCCCCTTGTCTGGGTGCATAGGAATATGGGCCCTGAGGGTCAGAAGATAGTAGTAGCCTCCGTTTGGATGGTGGTTCTGATCCAGCTCAAGAACTTGGTAACTTGGGTGTAGACTCCTGGCTTCTTTCCACATTCCAGACCCCAGCTCACTATCCCAGAGACGTAGTAGGTGCCATCCTTCTCGCAGGTCAGAGGGCCTCCAGAGTCACCCTAAAGGAAAAAGAGGCATGAGTTTAGCCTTGTGAACCAAAATGCGCTTGGCGATGACCCCGCCTCTGGGAGTAAGGGGTATTCCATGGGGTGGAGTCACTCATTTGCCAGCTGCTGTGGGCTGCTCTGGAGGTAGGAAGGTACTCTTCTTGCCTCCCATGTAAGGCTCTAAAGGGAGAGACGTTAATACTGGCCTTCATTCTGAGCCTATAAGGGCTAGGCAGAGAAGCTACGGGGCTGTGGTTAAACCCCTACTTCCTGACACTTAATCATATGGGAATTATTACTGTGAACTCTTAGTGGCCCATGACTTTCTCCTTCTGGAAGCTGACTATGGGAGCAGTGCCTTATTTGAACAGAGCCCTTCCAGGGCTGGCAGGAAACACACAGGGAGGGCAGGACTATGAGGCCACGTGGCTGCTTAGGGATTCTACATGGTCTGTGAGGTTAGGTCTTAAGGGTTGCACATTAGGCTCTACCACATGCTAGGCATGTAACCTTGGGCCCCATCTTCTCACATTGTAAACTGTGGATAGCAATAGATCTCCCCAACAGGGGTCTTGTGAGGATTAAGTATTTGAGAAGTGCAGAGAACAGCTCATATGAAGTGGCAAAGCTAACGGTGGTGAGGAGGAAGAAGAAGGCTCATGACTGGCAAATCATTGCTGGGTACCTTAATAGAGAAACTCCATCAAGAAGCCAGGACTGGAACGTGACGATGCCAGGTTTTCCCAGGCAGTTGGTGGTTTATGAGGATAACAGATAGAACATTCTAAATTGTGGTGTTCTTGGGAGTCTGAGAAGAACATATCCCTACAGAGAAGGCTTGGGGAAGGGAGTGGACTTTGGCTTGGGGAAGGGACCTGAAATCACTTCAGCACCAGGTGAAGGAACCATCATCATCTCCCTCTCTTAGTCAGCACAAGTCTCATCAGCTTGGGGTTCTCAAAAGTCCTGGACTAGGGAGAATATCAAGCCCTAAATTGACTTTGGCCTTGGTGATACTTAGTTTGCTAAG